TGGAAGAGTGAAGGAACATTTGGCTAGTGGCAGGATGCTGGGATGAATAGAGGAAAACCCTGAGCAGGAAGCTGCACCAGATGCTTGCAATGATACAGGAGTGGGTGGGAGAAGCCTCAGGGCCCTTCTGGAGGCAGCAGTGGCTGATCTCTGCGAGGGCTGGGGTGGCATTCTTTGAGATGAGCAGCTGGGTTTCAGCTGCACTGGTGGCTTGGGCAACTTGAGCTGCCTGTGCTGGCGGCCCAGCCATGGTGCCTTTTGGAGCGAGGCTGGCAGTGGCTGGGCAGCACTGTGAGCAGACCTTGCTTCCCCAGGGCTTCCCCAGAAAACTGGGATCTGAAGCCATGGAGTGCTCCCACGCCTGCAAGTGCTGAGCACTGTCCTGCCTGACTAGCAATTGGGAAGAGCCAATTAGCATGTTTTAATGTAACTGATTAGTGCCTGGTCATGCTGCCTGGGTGGTGGGTGATGCTCGAAGTGGATTTGAAATTACAAGCATGCAGACACCAAACCACTAGGGAGCTGGCATAGGGGAGAGGCAATTTCTTGGATTAGCAGCTGCAGCCTCAGTTTCTCTCCTATTCCCAATGGCAAGCTGCCTTCAGAGCCCTGCAAAGGTCCTGGGTGAGCACCTGAAAATTAAGAAATTAACTTTCTTTAATTAACGGAATTGAGGTGCCTGCTGTGATGGTGGCTCAGCCTCTGCTGCAGCTCCTCCAGCCTCTCCTTTTGCAAAGCACGAGCCCTGTGTTCTCCTGTGGGAAAGGAGAAGCATCTTGCTTGGGGCCAGAGATCCCAATGTGGGTCTGTCGCAGCCGGCTCTGCCCCAGATTTTGGGGGGTAGGTGGGAAGTGCTGCCCTGCATTCAGGCCCTGGCCAGGCTGTGCGTGGCTGGTGCTGCCTGCCTGGACGGTGCCCACATCCTCCCATGCTCAGGGATCCAGGAGTGGTGCACTGCGAGAAGCTGCTGCCTGCTGGAGCTCTGTTTCCTTAGCTACGGGAGGCAGGAGGTATTTCAGGAAGGAGGCAGGCAGGTGTGTGGAGCAGCCTCCCTCCTGAGGCTCACTCACCTTTCCTTTGCACCAGGACTAAACTGCCCGGATTCCATTTTCCAGGTGCTTGCTCGGAGCCCTGAGTCCAGCTGGAAGGAATGCCAAGTTCCCACGGCCGGGCTGAAGTCAGCACAGCAGGTCTGTACCCTGTGCTGTGCCAACAACAGAGGAAACCATCCAGCATCACTGGGTAAGTGCACTTTAACCTCCTTGGGTGTGAGCTTCCATCAATACCCAGGGGATAATTTCCCCCTTGTCCTAGGGATGAAAAGAGATTCATTCTTCCTTTTGAAGCCTGAGCATAATGTAATGATAAGAAAAAAATCCTCCAAGGAAACAAGTAATTCTGTCCTGGAAGCAGTCTGCAGGTGAGAAGGTCTGAGGCCACATCCAGCTTATGCCACCACCAGCTATTCCCAGCCCTGTTTTCCAGTGCCATATTCAGACCTGTCCACACTACACAGCCCCATGAAGCCCCACTGGCTCCCTTCCGTGTGCTAGGGAGGTGAGGGCTCTCTTCCATGGTTGCCTACAGGCAAACCCTGGCCGAGAGCTCCTGAGTCATGCTCACCACACCCCAGCTGGCCTACCCATCCTGGTGGGAATCAGCCAGCACGGGGACATCCTGGGACTGCTGTGCCATGCTGGGCTGGCCTGCCCACGGGCACACAGACACAGTCGTGTTGGCTCCAGGAGCAGGAAACAGCAGCTAAAGGATGTTTTCATACCCACACCCCCCAAGTCTGCCCCTGGCCTGCACAAGCTGCAGTTTTCCAGGGACATACACTACCTCCACAGGGATATTCAAAGCCACATCCCTGGCTAATGCACACCTTTGCCAGTACTTAGCTCTGAAGCTGGGAGACACAGGAGCTGCCCAAGGAGAAACTACAAGCCTTTTTCATTTCAGATGAGCAAATCAGTCTTTTTCTCCAGTCACTGTTCTCAAGTAGTCACCATCTTGCCTGAAAAGTGTCTAGACAAACTCAGCCTGAGTCCCTGAGCCTGCCTGGGCTTTACAGCTTACATAGTAAAAGCTGTAAGAAATGGAAAAGATGAATTGCAATTGGGAGCATCACACAGACAGCAGGATGCAGTGCTACGCTCCAACTATGAAGCAGCTCCCTGTGCTGCATCTTCTTGCTGCCTCAGGCTGTGGCTCCGCATCTCTCCTGCACTGCTGCAGGGTTTAAGCAGTGCAGGAAGGAGGTAAAGGGCTTCTCTGCACACAGAGCTGGAGGCTGAGCCACAAGCTGCTTGTGCTTCCCAGGGGTGTGGAGGGACTTAAGACCATGCAATGCCTGAGCCCTTGTAAATCCATAAGAAGAACCAGTAAGGATCTTCTTGGAATGAAGTCACAGCCACCGAGGCCCAATGCATATCGGAAAATGAAGGAGTTTTTCTCCTTGATTGGATTCCTCTGGGTTTACCTCTTGATCTATTCTCTTCTGTTCAGTTCCGTGCAGTTCAGTTTGGTTCGGTTCAGTTCAGTTCAGTTCTGTTTTCTCTATTCTGCTCTATTCTAGGCACAATCTGGGACAGAGTTGGGAAGAAACAAGTATTTCCAAGGAATGGCATAGACACAGGGTAGGTTTTCCCAGCTTTGTGTGATCCTGATGTTTTGGCAGACCAAGGGAGGGGGAGTGGGTGTTCAGTCCTTTGGGACTGGGCTAGCTCACCAGCAGCAAGGTTGCCAGCTCTGCTTAGAAATCAAGATTTCCCAGCAGCATTTGCCACTTTAACTGATGGAGTGTATCGGTTTCCAGTATGAAGGAAGTTTAAAAGGAGCGTGACCAGCAGGTCGAAGGAGGTGATCCTGCCCCTCTACTCTGCTCTTGTGAGACCTCACTTGAAGTATTGTGTGCAGTTCTGGTGTCCTCAACATAAAAAGGACATGGAACTGTTGGAACAAGTCCAGAGGAGGGCCACTAGGATGATCAGGGGACTGGAGCACCTCCGTATGAAGATCGGCTGAGAAAGTTGGGGCTGTTCAGCCTGGAGAAGAGAAGGCTGAGTGGAGACCTCATAGCAGCCTTCCAGTATCTGAAGGGGGCCTATAGGGATGCTGGGGAGGGACTCTCCATTAGGGACTGTAGTGATAGAACAAGGGATAATGGGTTTACATTTTAACAGGGGAAGTTCAGGTCAGATATAAGGAAGAAATTCTTTACTGTGGGGGTGTTGAGGCACTGGAATGAGTTGCCCAAGGAAGTTGTGAATGCCCCAGCCCTGGCAGTGTTCAAGGCCAGGTTGGACAGAGCCTTGGGTGACATGGTCTAATGCAAGCATTCCTGCCCACAGCAGAGGGGTTGGAACTAGATGATCTTAAGGTCCTTTCTAATCCTAACCATTCTATAATTCAGTATGTCAGAGAAGCCATGGCTTGTGCAAAACAGTCTGCACTTGCTGAGAAGTAGTGTATTGGGTACTGGGGACTCAATGGCAAATCACAATCACAAGTAATTTTAGCAAAACCTACAGATCTGTTTCTCCCACAGGCCTCTGCCTCTCAGCATTTGCACAGCACATATTGTACTAAACCAGCACAGTCCTCTCTGCTTTTCCTGAGGCAGACAGTGTCACCTGCTGCCAGGCAGCAGCCAAGCCTCAGTGATGTTGTAGGACTGGTGCTGGCTTGTCTGGAGTAAGGGGCAAGCTGTGTGACTTGTCCACATCACATGTATTGCTGGGGCTGAAGGAGATGACAATGAAAGAGATTTGGAAATCTTTTTTTTTGTTGCTGTTGTTCAGCTGTTCCCTAAAGTTTTAGGCTTGTATTGTTTGGGCTATGGTAGCTCCTAGAAGTCACCAGTCAAGGAAAAGGTCTCATTTATAGTAAAGTTTTATTTAAATGCATCGTGTTGTAGCCCAACCTGTGCTCTGCACCATGCTGCAGCAGAGCAGGAATCATCTGAGTCCTACCTCAGGCCTGGGGAGCTTGCATAAAAGAGAGACACTAAGGGAGACACCTGGTTTTTACCCCCTGGTTCCTCATGTCTGTGAGCTGTGCCAGCCTGCTTCCACCTGTAGTATGAAGGAAGGTTCTTTGCTGACATTCATTACAGTTTTGTTCCCTGATGCTTCTCCTTGATGGCATTTGTAGCTGTGCTTGTCAAACTGGAAGGTCCTTTAAATGGCAGGGGCTTCTACATCAGCCTGAAAGAGATGAAATGAGCCTTCAGTGGATGCTGCAGAGCAACACTGTTTAACTCGGCATCTGGAGAAGCCACAGATGCGGGTTCTCAGGCTCCCTATGTAAGGCGGCAGCAGTGAAGCACTTGGGACTTCCCTGCGGTTACATTTTGTGCCATTTGGGATAAAAGGTGCTGTTGAAGTGGCCGTTACCTGGTAGCCAAGTTCTATGTGTGTCCCTGATCACTGGTTGTGAACAGCGGTGTCCAGGCGAGACACCCAGTATCGCATCCCTGGGTGTGCTGCCAGCCGTTCCTCCAGCACAGGGTGCGCTGCCTGCATCCTCACGGACTGGAGAGATGACGAGCAAGGTGGAATGCTTAAGCAAAATCAGTCTCTCAGAGCCCCTTTGCACCTTGCCGGCTCAGGTCCCTGGTCCCACCTGCCGGTCACTCCCGATGGCAGGAAGGCATGGCCGTTCTGCAGAAATAAGACCCCTAGAAAGCCTCTCAGCTACCACCCCTGCTACGCAACTGAGCGATGCCGCAGCAACGACAGAGGCTTTGCACAGGCTGTTGAGGTCTCAAACACACCCATCCATGCATCCATCCATCCATCCATCCGTCCATCCGTCCATCCGTCCATCCATCCCCCTGCCGCTGTGTGTGAGGGCTGCCCCGTGTGCCCCTCGGCTGCGGCTGGCTGCCCCGAGGCCCGTTCTGCTCCCCCCGGTGGCATACTCCCGGCAGCCACCCCGAGGAGGGGCTGATGCAGCGGGCACAGCCCCAGACCCAGAAATAGCCTGAGGCGCGCAGACCCGCACCAGCCTCTCCGCCGGCAGCTCCGCACCGCCTCCCGGTACAGAGAGCAGGGGCCGCCAGGACCTCTCCTCCCCGCAGGGATGCCGCGGGCACATGGTAGGCAGCGCGGCGCGGGGGCTGCCCGACCCCATTTCGGGCCCGCAGCTCCGGCCGTGTTTCAACCTAGCGGCCCTCAGCGCAGGCCCCGGCGCCCGAGCATCGGTGAGGCGGGGGGAGCAGCCCGGGGACCGCGGCCTCTCCGCCGCAGCGGGGCGGGCGGGGAGGCGGAGCGGCGGCGGCCCCGGCCCCTTCCCCTGCCGGTGCCGGTGCCGGGCCGGGCAGCCCGCTGCTGGGCTGTGCGGGGGGGCGGCGGCGGGCACAGGGCCCGGAGCAGAGCGGGGCCGGGACCCCAAGGCAGGTCAGTCCGGGACGGGAGGCGGCGGCCGCGGGTCGGGAGCCGCGGTCCGGGTTGCGGGGCTCAGCCGGCGCCTGCCGCGGCAGCTGTGCGGGGGCCTTGCGGGCAGCGGGGCTCCAGCGAGTGGTGGCCCATGGGGCTCGTAGGGTGCAGGAGGGGTCAGGGGGTCCTGCCGGTGGGGAGGCTGGGGAAGGGGGTTGGGAAGACGCTCCCTGCATGGGGCTAGTCCTGGCCCCGCCGTGTTTAGCTGCGCCTCCCTGGGTGGGCCTGGCTTCGGGACTGCGCTGAGGGATGCTCACGGCAACTTGCTCGACTCCCTGGGCGGGTATGCCAGCACCGCCTTGGGCAGCACCCGGGTGTAGCTCGGGAGGGCGACCTGCGGGTCTGGCGTGCAGGAACTGGTTTGGTTTGTTGCTGTGGGAGATTTCTAGGCACTTGGCTCCGTTTAGACGCTGTTTTCCTGCCCTCATAGTGGACCACACGCGAAGGGGTTTTAACAAATGTTTGTTTCCGCCCGCCTGACGGGCAGCTGAGGCCCTGTGAGCTGCAGGGGCTTCCCTGTGCTCCTGGAGTAAGTCAGTAGCAACAGCAGGGAGCGAGCCCCAAACCCTCAATGTCCTTTCCCAGGGCACACGCAATGGCCTGCACTGCTGCCCTCTGATGCGAGATAATAGTGTCATCCCACCGCTGTGTCATGGCTTGTGTTCAGTTCCCACGTCATCCTGGCCACAGAATCCTCCTTCTGAGACCCATACCTGACAGTGTCAGAAATGCTTCATGATAGCAGGGGAGAGGAGGGGGACATCTCCCTATTTCTCTCTCCAGCCTTGAGAGACTGATGCTTCTGAAAGGGCTGTCAGGTCAGGATGAGCTAATGCTCTGCCTGAGCATCTCTCCCCCAGTTTATGACTTCATGCAGTTTTGTCCATGGACCAAGGTCCTGTGCCCTCTCCAGCTTGCTTCCCCATCCTTTCTAGCAGCAGTGGTGCTGCACACTGTGTTTGCAATTCAGAAACCTCATGAACAGAATGGGTGTTATGCAGGAGAAAGAGAGACCTTTGTCTGGCTGGCAGATGTTATTTCTGCATGAACATCTTTTTCCTTTTAACTGTTTAACCACCATTTCCAGGATTGATGTACATGGCTGCCCTCTTCCTTTTTAGAAAGTTCAGAGGGGGAGCAGGAGGTGAGGGGAAAGCTGGGTGGGTGAACAAGGTATGAGAAAGCACTTTGCCTCATGTTGGGGTTTTACAATGATGCGTGACAGGTCAGGCTGCTTGTCTGAGCAGTGGAGTGAGGGCAGAATGTGCTATTTGGGATAACAGGTGCTGTTGAAGTGGACTGAGGTATTGGCCAGAGGGGAGAAAGTGGGAAAAAACCAGAAGGCAGAAAGACTGCTCCTGAGGCCAGACCTGAACCTTGGCCTTGCTGCCTTCCCTGCTACCCTGCAAAGTGGTGGTCAGGGCTGAGGAGCAGATGGAGAGGGAAGCATAAACAGCTCTTTCAGGAAGGATTTGTCTTAAGTAGCCTGGCAAACAGCCACTGGCAAACAAATAAGTAATAAATAAAAGCAGGGAGGCTGCCGCACCCCTGCAGCCTCTGACTCCATAGGATGTACGGGCTTTCCTGGCTTCCCTGTAAGCTTAAACCTCTGCCTTCTTCCCATGACAGCGTCTTGGCTCCTGCAGCTTCATCTGAATGCCTTTCAGCTTTTTTATTTTTCTCTGTGATAACACTGGGATCTGTGGCTGCTCTCCCCTGAAAAGCTTTCCCTGAGGTTAACTAGTTCATCCCTGGGTTGGTGGCTGCTGACAATGGCAAACACAGGGTGGTCCTGCAGACAGGGACAGAAATAGCAGTGCTTGCTGGGGACACCAGTCAGGGGTGTGCGTAGGCCCTCACAGATAAATACTGTCCTTCCATGCAGAGCCTTCTGGCCCAAGGGAAAGTAAGGCAGCTTCAGAGCTGACATCTGCAGAGTTGTAAAAGGAGGAGTGTCCCTGCTTTAAAATATTCCTCACAGGATATACTCCCATCTTAACAGGCTGCGAAAGCTTCCTCAAGGCAGCAAAGAGAGGGAGAAATGCTTCTAACACCTACAGGTGATTTCAGTTGATATTGAACTAATCAGTCACCTAAACTCTTAGGCAAGCATCAGTGTGCTATGCAAATGCTGACACCTCATGAATCCTATAGACACCAAAGCCTTATACTGTTGTCACTCTGCATTTGGTGAAACAGCTCTTCTTACATACTTTAATTGCTGTAAATACATTTTATATACTTAGCCCTAAATTTGAAGGAAACACTGCATTGCTGATGCACTGTGCTCAGAGCAAAAGCAGGTTTGCTTTGGGGTTGTTTCAGGACAAGAGGCTCCACTCCCAATTTCCTTCAGCTATGGCTTGATTATGTTCAGTCCCTAACCAGCTATCAGATCCCTCAACATCAAGAGATCTTAGAGCTTTTGAGGATCTCACTTGGCATCTACCGGCACTTTAAGATGCCTAAACATCTTTTTGAAGCTGGCTTGAAGTTATTGCTTCAAATGTAGTTGGGACTGGTAATTAGGCTGTAATCACACCTTGTTATTAGGTGGGGACAATGGCAGCAGTTTGCTTACACTATTACAACAACAATGGGCCAGACTGTGCAAGGTAATGGTGCACAGCCCTTCCCACCACTCAGGCCACTATTGTTGCTGGTTAATGGGTGAGACTGGGCATGGCATATCCCCAGGGCCTCTCTGCAGAGGCAGGGGGAAGTGGGGTGGAGCGGTGTGGCAGGCGGCATGGGCTCCCCTCTCCCAGCCTGCTGCCCTGGTCCCTGCATTACCCTCACCTCTGTGGTGGTTCCGCTCTCGCTCGATCTCACACTTCCTCACCAGGTTCACTTTCTATGACTCATCTTAGTGGTTCCCAAAGCCTCAGCGCTGTCCTGCTTTGCCTGTCCTGAGCCCTCTCTTAGTGCATGGTTGTGTTGGCGTAAGAGCTACAGCCATGCTAAGGGCTGCAGAGAAAACCTCTTTGGCTGAGAAATTGCCTTCCTAATTGAAATTACTGTAATGCTGCCCAGCCTCTGGGGAGCATAAACACCCCCATATGGAGGTGTTTCTACACCAGGATCAGCTGTGCAGTTCCCAGCAGGGTACCCATGAGAAGCTGTGGCATTCATTTTGACCAAGGAGGGGCTTCTCTGCTGTTGTAGTTTGATTTCAAATAAAGATGTGTCTAAAATGGAGTTCTAAACAGAGGAGAAGGGATAGGCTCAGTGCTCCTGTTCAGTGGGAGCATGTGAAAGCTTTGGGTGACCTGATTATCCTACCCCCAGTACCAACATTTTGTGTCCTGTCATGTGCAGATTGTGGGTGAGCCGAGAGGAAGGCAGGATCTGAATGAGCTAAACTTCACTGCACCCGCGAGTGCTAAAAGGCAGGTTGTGGTAACTGGGAAAACATGTCATCATGTAGTTTAGAGCTCCTTCTAACAGGGAGAGGAATGGGCTTTGGCCCTGGTTCACTGGGAGTACTTTATTGTTAGCTGGAAGATGGTGGCAGAGATTGACACACAGAGCTCCTTAATGTGCTGTGTTGGAGAGTGTATGGGAGACTGAAATTCAGATAAGGTAGAGGTGGGGAGTTAGGGCAAAACCCAGGTTTGGAAGGATAGGTAGGGAGCAGCTCCCAGCTGTAGGCCAAAGTGAGCTCTTGGTACCCTGAGACAAGACCTGGGGACACTGCGTTGGCCAAGCCAAGGTGACCCTACCAGAGGAGTCCCCTTGCTGCGCTACTCACCCAGCAAGGTGACACACACTAAGATGACATGCCAGAGAAGTGGCACAGGTTGGGTGCTGAGATGTCGCATGAGGGCTGGCAAGCTGATGGGTGACTCGCAGGGCTTGGAAGTGGCTGACCATGGGCCATAGGGCACAGTGCAGCTAAGGTCCCAGCTGGCACCGGGACAGCCTCCAGTAGCCTGGGGCTTGGGACCTATCTGGCTGGAGGACCTGGTTGCATCAGCAAGTTGAGACAGTTTTCTTGGCACGGCTCAGGCTTGGAGCAGAATCTTCATTTTGAAGATAATCAAAACCTGCCTGGACATGGCCCTGAGCAATCCCCTGTAGGTGACCCTGCTTTGAGAAGGGAGGCTGGACCAGCCCGCCTCCCTTCAGCCTCAACAATTCTGTGATTATTTGTCCCATCTTGAAGTCACCATGGGGTAACCCCCAAGGCAGCATTAGAGAAATGACCAGAAACTCAGGGGTTTGCCAGACTCCTCTGTACCTGCAAGCAGTGGTCTGGAGGTCTCTACATGGGTAAGAGACTCCCAGGGCTTGCAGACTCCAGGCTGGGGACTTGCACCATTCCTTGTGTTTCTGAGCTGCTTTTGTCAGGGAGAGGTCACAGATGGCAGAACTTGGCAGGAGGAAAGTATAATGGCAGAAATGGCACAAAACCAAACCAAATTTCATAGACTTTAGTGTTTGATCTGTGCCTTGTTTGGCTCCTGACCTGCATCTGAGTAGGATGGATGGATTAGAGTCAGGATTTAAATTAATGATCAGAAAGCAATGACTTAGGTGCCTAGTTTTAATCTTGCTGTATTTGTATACTTCTACTCTTTTCCTAAGGACAAGTTGCTTCTCAGTGATAAGTATGTATGTTGTGGTACTTAGGGCTGAGCAGGAGGCTTCACCATGCTTA